TTTAACTGAAATTCTTTGAATAAGGGTAGTTTCCAGAGTGGCCTAGTTATGTATTTCTCTTCCTAAGTAAAAAGGGGAAGCTGGGAGAAGAAATTCTTTTATAACTGAAATTGCATAGTAAGAATTGATCGTTTGGAGCAATGAGAAGTTTTCATTTATTTGTCAACTCTGTAGTTGTAACTCTCACAAGGGCTACTGTAGATAGACTTATTGTTACAGTGAAATACTAACAAAGATATGGTTAGGGCAGGGACTGTGACTCTAGGTGTAATTTTAATTTTCAGCAGCATCTATTGTCTACTGTGAACCCAGCCCCATAGTCTATAAGGGTATGCATGAATATGTGCAGACAAGTTGACTTCTGTGTGTGTGTGTAAGTATTTTAATAGTGATGTAGAGCCTACTATGTTCCAGGTACTGTTCTAATTGCTCCATATGTTAACTCAATCTCATTATGACCATTTTATAAGTGAGGAAATTGGGGCATAGAGAGATTAGGAATTTGCTGAAGTCATGCTGTTTGTAAATGGTGGAACCGGGGCTCAAAACTAGGCAGTCTGGCAAGGTTGGCCTGTTTCATTCTCCTTCAACTGGCATTTATTGAGTATGTTATATTGACAAGAGATTGAGTTGGATCACTTCCCAAACTCATTCATTCATCAGATTCTTACTGAGTACCTACTATGTGTCAAAGAACAGAGGGGTGGACAAGACAACGTCTCTGCTTCTGTGGAACTTATGGACTGGTGAAGAGTCAGACATAATTAATTAATATGCAATACATTTTCAGAGAGAGGTGAGTCCTGCAATGAAAATAAAGCGAGGGAAGGGACTGGAAAATGCTGGAGGGGTGCAGGGCTATTTTTAGACTTTTGTGGGCTGAGAATGCCTCTCCGAGTGGGTGTCATTTGAGCAAAAACCAGTTCGAGGAGAAAAGCCAGCCCAGTGGCAATCAGAGTGGGGAGAGCCGTGTCCAGGCAGAATGAGCCGCAAGGATGAAGGCCCTGAGGTCAGGATAAGCCAAGGCCAGAGTGTGTAGAGCAGGATGAGCTGGGCGGAAGGGGAGGATGTCTGGGAGGAGGTCAGAGACAGTGACAAGATCATGCTGGCCCTGGTGGGTTATGGGAGGGAATCTGGATTTTATTCTGAATGTGAGTGGATGGAAGTCTTGGAGAGTTTTGAGCCAGTGTGTGTATGTGTGTGTGTGATGTGTTTTGATTGACATTTTTCAGAGCACATTCTGGCTGCAGTAAAGAGGACTGACCATGGGTAGCAGCAAGGAAATAGGAGGCTTTTGCGTTGAGCGAGGGACTGTCTCCCTTCTCCCGTCCTGTAATTCACGTTAGTTCGAAGGCACGGCTCTCCCACAGTACTCGCTCAGGTCTCCGTGAAACAGACACGCTGCCGGAGGACTCCAGGGGCAGAGGAGTCAGGTGACTGCGTCCACCTGACCCCCTGCCCTTCCTCCGAAGATTTTCATATATTCTCTTTACCTTTGTTCCTCATGGGGACAGTATCTTGAGAGGGGTTATCTGGGGAATAACATGTATTCAAACCCTCAGGGAAAACGTTTGTATTCCTGGACTTGCTTTAAAAACAGACACTTTGTGTATACCCAAAAGGATTTATGGCCTGAGAATGGAGACGGGACAGTGTTGGGTTGGGAAACACTGCACAAAGGGGATTCAGCTTGGTCACACCCTTGACCCCAGAAGCCTGGGCTCAACTCAGCAGAGTGATGACTGGCTTCCATACGTTTGAACACAGTCCTCAACTTTTTCGAGTCTGCTTCCTCCTTGGTGGAGTGTGTGGCTGCTACCCTCACAAGGCTGATGCAGGGGCCAGTGAAGTAGGAATGTGGAGGCCCTGTGCACAAATGTGCCGTGGAACTCGAAGACCGTAGCGTCCATTTTTAGGAGATTCCAGGCATATTGCTCATTGACTGCATATATGCTCAAATAACACCCCAGGGAACACCTTGTAGGATAGGTACGGCTGTTTTTCCTGGTCGTGTAGTCTAAAGGAAAGAATCTGCTATGTGACAAGGTCTGGTTGACGTGCTCTTGTCCTCCCCAAACCCCACTAACTGGCTTGAGAACTGAAGTTCCCACTCTTCGGCCAAGACTCTTCAGACCTTCTTGTGGGCTGTTCCTGGAGGGTTATTGACTGAGGTCCCCAGAGCAAAGGTTAGGGGAGTTGGCTGGAGTTGTGGGGGGACCTGCAAACAAGCAGATAATCACACACACACAAACAAGGCACAGTTACAGTTGTTGGGGATGCACAGTGCTTGTGGGTAAGCTGTATATGTAAATAAATGATTAAAACTATGAAAATTGCTCCCATGGAGGTATCTTTAAGGTATCAAGAAGGGAGTGGCTATTCTGCCTAGGCGTGGATCTGGGAAGGATTCCAAGAAGGGGTCATTTGGGCAGATTCCTGTGAGATCCTTGGAGCCCCATGCATAGAAAGAGGGGTGTGTATATGCCGCGCAAGTCATGATGAGGAATATGAAACAGCATAGTGAGTTCCAGGATCAATTCAGGCCAGACTGTGGAAAACTGCTGTTTGAGCTGATGTTGGCTTATCTGACTAAAGGTTTTGAATTCTTTAATTCTTTTGTGCAATGTTTAGCCGTAGGTGATGAGGCTTTTCTGGGGCCCAGTGAGCTAGAGTTGATTAAAAAAAAAAAAATCAGAGGGGGCCCCTCAATGCCTAGTTGTGTGTCTTGCCTGAGGTCAGCGTTTAAATCTTTACTGAGGAGATAAAGATGTGATGGTTGTCTCAGAGCTCCAGAGATGTCCTCTCATGGATCCCTAGACCCTGGGGCAGGGACACTGCATGCCCCGTGGCATCAGTGTGCTGAGGAAGCAGTTTGCAGGATCTGCTGTATCAAGGTTCTGTGGTCCACACTAGAGCAGCCTCCGAGGGGCCTGCCTTCCCAGCTAACAAGCCGCTCGGCTGAGAAGTGGAGGGTTGGGGTCCATTCCCATTGAGCACCTTCTGTGAAATGGTACCCTTTCAGTAATTACAAAAGTATTTTTGATGGCATATGTTAAGGATGTGGTTAAATTATCTGTGGTCAGGGAGGCAAAGGAGGGTGCTTCTTTGGTTTACTTCCCGTCGCCCATTGAGTTGGGTGGCATTGCCCTTGACCCCAGACTCTGCTCCTCTCTGCCTTGTTCCAGACCCTGTTCCCAGATGAGCCATGTTCAGCTGGAGCTCGTGGACATGATGGCTTGGTTGACTTTTCGTTTCCTGTATGTTCTTTTCTCCGGGGGCTAAGTCATATCCAGCCTGCACACAAGGAGACATCGTTCAGGAAAGCACCTCCCCACCCGCAGCCTGTGATCTGACTGCCCCGCAGCCTGTGATCTGTTTTCCGCTTTCCTGACCAAGGCCCTTTGCTTAGTGTCATGTCATTTTCTTGCCATATTCCTTAGTCTTTGCCTTCTAATTATTCCAAAGTGACATTCAGAGGCTTTCACATCTGCTAGGACAGGGTTTTGTTCTTTTGTCAAATCTTAAAACCAGAAAAGCAGCAGTAGCATAAGGCAACTGGAAGAAAAGCAGAAAAGGTAACTGGAAGACTGCATATTTTTTGATATTAAAGGGACATAATTGATTCAAGTGGCTTCCTGCTGAGACCTCAGAAGAAAGAAGTCCCTAAGTTTTTAACCTTTCCTTCCCTTTCTTTTCTGGTACTTGCTCTCCCCACCTCCTTTAAGCTTTTCTATTGTGGAAAATTTTAAACAAATATGGAAGAGGAGAGAATTTATAATGAATCTGCAAGTACCAGCTTCAATAATGATCAACTTTGGTGCATCTTGACTCTTTGTAAGTGACCCCATGGACTGTAGCCCACCAGACTCCTCTGACTGTGGAATTCTCCAGGCAAGAAAGAATACTGGAGTGGGTGGCTAGTCCCTTCTCCGGGGGATCTTCCTGATCCAGGGATTGAACCCGGGTCTCCTGCTTTGCAGGCAGTTTGTTTACTGTCTGAGCTACCAGGGAAGCCCATTAACCACCTATCTGTCCTTAATTATTTTAAAACAAATGTTAACATCACACATTCTATCATTTAATCTATGAATACCATAGTTACATGTTACTAAAAGATGAAGACTTTGTAAAATCATCATACTTTCATTACCACACCTAATAATTCCTTCATGTCATCAAATAATTATTTGATATTAAAATTTTCCTGAATATCCAAAAATGTTTTAACCCTGTGTTTTAATCAGGACCCATTGCAATTGTTGATAGATCTCTTAAATTTCTTTACATCTATAGGTGTTCTTTGTATCTCTTTCTCTTTTTTTTCCTTGCAGTTTATTTATGGCAGAAACTGGATCTTTAGTTCTCTTTAGTTTCACATAGTGTAGATTCTGCTTATCACGTCCTTAGAGATTGTTATAACATGTTCCTCACTCCTCTGTGTTTCCTGTAAATTGATGCTGTATCTAGAGCTTTGTTCAGGATATAGATTCAGTTTTCTGGGAAGAATGCTTAATAGGTAGTGGTGTGAACTTATTCCGGGTATATAATGTTTAATTATCTCTTCGTGATTGTTGGTTGAGTTTTTAAATGTGTTAGGTATTTAAGAGGGTTCTGGCCCTTTAATGTTCATCTGGGCCCAAGTGAAGGTCTTGAGAAAGTGGGGAAATGAAAGAATGTGGTGTGCTCAGGAGTTCCTTCTCTGTCCAAGCCTGATGATGCAGGTGGCTCTTAGGTTTTCTGTCCCCGAACTGTTGGTTCCTGCAGCGCTGGGAGATGAATCAACAGGATTTGGTGGAGATCACTGCCTGTCGTGTGTTTCTTGTGGTCATAAAAGACTCTGTTCACTTAAGAAATGCTAAGGAAGGAGAGGATCAGATTCCTTGAAAGTTGTTTTTGTATTTGGGGGTGTTTCTTGGTTTGGCTGCACCAGCCCCCCTGTGCTGCAGTTCTCTAGGAGCGTGGTTCAGCTCATGTGTACGGTGATCCTTCTCTTCCCCCAGGATCTCATCTTGCCCAATGGCGGCACTCCGGCAGGCACTGCGAGCCCAGCTTCTTCATCGTCCCTGCTCAACAGACTGCAGCTTGATGATGACGTGGATGGTGAGACCAGAGACCTCTTTGTCACGGTTGATGATCCTAAGAAGCACGTCTGTACGATGGAGACCTACATCACGTACAGGATCACCACCAAAGTAAGTCCCTTTGTTCTCTCCCGTCTGGTCTGCCCTGTCTTGGAGAAGTGGTCCTCCCGCCGTGAGTCCTGCCTTCTCCTTTTCCCTCCCTCTGCACACCTGTGTTCACCTTTCTCACAGTTGTGGGTACAGCTCTTTCGGAGAGTGGATATATTCAGATTTAAAAGGGTTATATGTAAGTTTTTCTTTTATCTTAAAATGCACGAGAAACTGTGACTCCAGTCTTCCAAATTTAGTCCTAGAAAGTAAGACACTTACTTTCTATGGTGATAGTGTTTAACATGTTAATATCTCATTACTTTCTCTCTCTCTTTTTTTTTTTTGGCTGCACTGTGTAACATGTAGGATCTTAGTTCCCCAAAGAGGGATTGAACCTGAGCCCTGGGCTGCCAGGGAAGTCCCAGAATCTCTTTAAATCTATGAGTCATTGTATCAACCTGAAGCTCTGTGATGAAACCATGATTTTAATCTGGTGTCATTAGACTTGATGTCAAAAAAGGATGGGAACTAATATTTACTGACTTTCTGCCATATGCCACTGTGTTACATGTGCCTGGGCTTTTCTGCACTGGTTGACATCTGAAAATTTGTGTGTGTGTACATGCACATGTGCTAACACAGTTTTCCCCCATCTCTTCTGCCACTAGGTAATATTCCTCAGCGTTGCTAGGTGCTTCGATGTGTATTATGTCCTCGGAGGTCCTAGGTTGATAGGTGTATTCCCATGAATCATTTCTAGTTACTTATTTTTTTCCCCCTTGTTGTTGTTCAATCGCTAAGTCATGTCTGACTCTTTGAGACCCCATGGTCTGTAGCCAGCCAGGCTCCTCTGTCCATGGGATTTCCCAGGCAAGAATACTGGAGTGGGTTGCCATTTCCTTCTCCAGGGGATCTTCCCTACCCAGGGATCGAACCTGCGTCTCCTACATTGCAGGTGAGTTCTTTACCACTGAGCCACCAGGGAAGCCCTGGAAAAACCAGAACTTTGACTATATGTACCTTTGTCGGCATTTTTCACCCTGGGGTCAACTTATTTTTTAGACTGTAGTCAGTGAAATGCAAAACCTGGTTTTCTTGAATTTGTGCTCTAAATAGCTGAATGGCAAGGGGACCACCTTGCTGGCACAGCAGTGCACGCCTGTCCTGGCGCTTCCCCGCCCCTCTGTCCCCCGCCTGCAGTGTGCCTCCCCGTCATCGGGTTCTCAGGCTGACATGGTCCTGCAGCTCACCACGCTCTCCTCTGCCTCCTCCCTTCCCTCCCGTGGCCCCTTTCTCTGTTGTTCTCTTACTTCTGTTTTCCTGGGATTATTTTATTTTCTCTTAAGTCAAGATTATCTCAGGATAATCTCTTCCAAGTTCCAGTCCCACATTTTCCCTGGGCTTCAACGACAACACCTCAAGGCTGAGCTTGTTGTGAGGATCAGTTCTTGCTTCTTACTGTGAATTCCACTTCTGACCTCAAACCAGAGTCCTGTTCTTCTCCTGTTTCAAATAGTGACACCAAGTTTAATACCTTGGTGATTTATCTGGAGCCTTCTTTCTGAGTGTTGTATAGAAAGGATGCTTGAGGTGAGTGAAGTCGCTCAGTCGTGTCCGACTCTTTGCGACCCCATGGACTGCAGTCCACCAGGCTCCTCTGTCCATGAGATTTTCCAGGCAAGAATACTGGAGTGGGGATGCTTAGGGATATGTGAAAAGGAGAAAAGGAAGGCTATATCCATCTGAATGCAGAGTTCCAAAGAATAGCAAGGAAAGATAAGATAGCCTTCCTCAGTAATCAATGCAAAGAAATAGAGGAAAACAATAGAATGGGAAAGACTAGAGATCTCTTCAATAAAATTAGAGATACCAAGGGAACATTTTATGCGGAAGATGGGCACAATAAAGGACAGGAACGGTATGGTCCTAACAGCAGAAGCTATTAAGAAGAGGTGCAAGAATACACAGAACTATATAAAAAAGATCTTTATAACTCTGGGTGTCATCACTCACCCAGAGCCAGATATTCTGGAGTATGAAGTCAAGTGGGCCTTAGGAAGTATCACTGCAAACAAAGTTAGTGGAGGTGATGGAATTCCAGTTCAGCTATTTCAAATCATAAAAGTTGATGCTGTGAAAGTGCTGCACTCAATATGTCAGCAAATCTGGAAAACTCAGCAGTGGCCAAAGGACTGGAAAAGGTCAGTTTTCATTCCAATCCCAAAGAAAGGAAATGCCAAAGAATGTTCAAACTACTGCACAATTGCACTCATCTCACATGCTGGCAAGAAAGAAAGAAAGAGGGAAGGAAAGGAAGGGAAGGAAGGAAGGAAAGAAAGAAAAAAAAAGAAAGAAAGTGAAGTCGCTCAGTTGTGTCCAATGCTTTGCAACCCCATGGACTGTAGCCTACCAGGCTCCTCTCCATGGGATTTTCTAGGCAAGAGTACTGGAGTGGGTTGCCATTTCCTTCTCCAGGGGATCTTCCCAACCTAGGGATCGAACCCAGGTCTCCCATGTTGTAGACAGACGCTTCACCATCTGAGTCACCAGGGGAGCCCACATGCTGGCAAAGTGATGCTCAAAATTCTCCAAGCCAGGCTTCAGCAGTCCGTGAACTGATAACTTCCAGATGTTCAAGCTGGATTTAGAAAAGGCAGAGGAACCAGAGATTAAATTGCCAACATCCATTGAATCATAGGAAAAGCAGGAGAATTAAAAAAAAAAACTCATCTACTTCTGCTTTGTTGACTATGCTAAAGCCTTTAACTGTGTGGATTACAACAATCTGTGGAAAATTCCTAAAGAGATGGAAAACCAGACCACCATACCTGCCTCCTGAGAAACCTGTATGCAGGTCAAGTAGCAACAGATAGAACTGGACATGGAACAACTGACTGGTTCCAAATTGGGAAAGGAGTACGTCAAGGCTGTATAGTCACCCGGCTTATTTATGCAGAGTACATCATGCAAAATGCTGGGCTGGATGAAGTACAAGCTAAATTCAAAATTGCCGGGAAGAACACCAATAACCTCAGATATGCAAATGACACCACCCTTATGGCAGAAATTGAAGAGGAACTAAAGAGCCTCTTGATGAAAGTGAAAGAGGAGGGTGAAAAAACTGGCTTAAAACTCCACATTTAAAAAGATCACGCTCAGATCATGGCATCTGGTCCCATCACTTTATGGCAAATAGATGGGGAAACAATGACAGTGACAGATATTTTTTCCTTGGGCTTCAAAATCACTGCAGTTGGTGACTGTAGCCATGAAATTCAAAGACGCTTGCTCCTTGGAAGAAAAGCTTTGACTAACCTAGACAGCATTTCAAAAAGCAGAGACATTACTTTGTCGACAAAGGTCCATCTAGTCAAACCTATGGTTTTTCCAGTAGTCATGTATGGATGTGAGAGTTGGACCATAAAGAAGGCTGAGTGCTGAAGAATTGATGCTTTTGAACCGTAGTGTTGGAGAAGACTCTTGAGAATCCCTTGGACTGCAAAGAGATCATCAAATCAGTCAATCCTTAAGGAAATCAGCCCTGAAATATTCGTTGGAAGGACTGATGCTAAAGCTGAAACTCCAATACTTTGGCCACCTGATGTGAAGAACTAACTTACTGGAAAAGACTGATGCTGGGAAAGATCGAAGGCAGGAGGAGAAGGGGACGACAGAGGATGAGATGGCTGGATGGCATCACCGACTTGATGGACATGGGTTTGAGCAAGCTCCGGGTGTTGGTGATGGACAGGGAGGCCTGGCGTGCTGCGGTTCATGGGGTCGCAAAGAGTCGGACACGACTGAGTGACTGAACTGCATGAACTGAGGAATGTTTGGGGATGAGACAGGGGACAGATGGCAACACAGGTTCCCAAACACCTGCTTTTGTCCGGGACCCCCACTCCTGCTGAGATTATCAAGCAGAGTTAATGGTCCAAGGATGAGGTTGTACAAATACTTTATTGCTTTGACTCCCAGGCCTAGTTCACATTTCTGATGACAGAAACTGGCCAAAGTACAGAGTTGCTTTTCCTGAGCTCAGATGAACCTAGGGCTGGGAGCCAAAGCAGGCAAAGTGTTCCCCACCCAGGTCTAAGTCATGGGTATCTTATCTCTCCATTTGTGGAGAGCAGCCTTCTCAGGGCCGGCAGATCCTAGCAGTTTTCTCTGCAACCTCTAGAAGATAACATCATCATAATAGAGAATTACTGAGCATTTCTCACATGCTGTACTTTTTTCTTTTTTCAGTTGGAACCCTTCAGATTTTATATAACTAATATATGCTCATTATAGAGAAATTTAAAAACTCAAGTAAGTTAAAACAATAAAAAAAAACCCAGAAGCTCAGCAGCCAGAAATAATAATTCAGATTTTTCTGAACTATTTGTCTCTATCCATTCACAAAAATGAGTATTTTGCAAGTGGCCAATTCACTTAATATGTTGCAAATGTCTTTCTCTGCTAGTAAATGCCAGTGAGCACACTTTTATGCTGTCATTTCTAAGAGTGCAGCAGTATTCCATTCTGTGGATGAGCTGTCATTTATTTTGTGCTAAGTGCCTTAAATATATCATCAGTTAATCCTCAAGGAAGTAGGTACTGATAGTATTCTTACTTTTGCAAATGAGGAACCTAAGACACAGTGATAGAGAAAATTGCTCAAAGACATGCAGCTAACATGTGTTAAAACTTAAACCCAGATCTGTCTTGTGCTGTGCTTTCAAAAGTGAAGTCGCTCAGTCGTGTCTTGACTCTTCGTGGCCCAATGGACCATGGCCTACCAGACTCCTCCGTCCATGGGATTTTCCAGGCAAGAATACTGGAGTGGGTTGCCATTTCCTCCTCCAGGAGATCTTCCAAAGCCAGGGATTGAACCTGGGTCTCCTGAATTGTAGGCAGACACTTTACCGTCTGAGCCACCAGGGAAGTCTGTGCTTTCAAAAAGACATGCTTTTCCAGAAAGTTCCACCCCCACTCCACCAGCACTGTGGTGTCTGCTACCATGGCCTGACTGTTTGAAA